GCCCCATAGCACCTCTAACAGTGCCGAGTGAATAAAACACATAATCAGACATACCTCATCAGCTGTATATACTTAAGGTATTACAGGGCTTAGGGGGATGGTGAGCAGTAGGGTCGACACACTGAGTGGCTTCTGTCAGGACTACGTGTGTTGTTGTTAATGCGATCAGACTACGTCACCCATGGAAGTGTGCTTAGCTTGACTGGCTTTTGTATATGGTTCTATATACCCTCTTCTAGCATTTTGATGTCTCAGGCTTCAGAAGGATCCTAAACCCACTGATCATAGTCAAACAAAACTGCATGACTCTTATAAGCCCTGTACAACCCCTGGTATTCCCGAATCCGCTTAAATAAACAAATATGTATGTGAATAAACCATGCAAATATATCAAAATATACATATAAATACATCTATATTTATATATATAATCTCATAAACCCCACAAGCTGACACGACCCTAAACCGAGATCTATATTGGCTGCCTCATCATAGGACTCGGAAACGTACATAAAGACTTTAAAGTCAACTAAATCAAAAGTCGTGCACCCCAGGGCTCGGGTATCCTTTTAAGTTCAATTATCTCAATGGGGTCTGTGGGAGCAGAGGTTTTGCAACACCAGTGTTTGTAGCCAATTGAGGGTCTCAGGGTCTTTTCGTCGTAGCATGCAGCTCTCTTTAACCCTATACAACCCAATATTCCTGAATGCCCTGTCTAATGTATTAGGAACGTAGATTTATATACACTTATGCAATTATACGCCCTTAATTAAAGACTTTGTATAGGGTTGTCTCTTCTTCGATCATAGGGGACCTACAAAGGTTTCTGGTTTGTAGGTGTATAGTGCATTAAGTACCTAATTACCTATATAATGTACTCCTGCAGGTGCCTGACATCGCCACCATGTTCCAGCAGATGATCTTCTCAGACCTTTGGGAAGAAAGCCGAATGACGGATGTGATTAGATACTTGCGGGGCAACAAACATTTGAAGATTCCAGAGGGTTGGCGACCACTCCTACCACATTCCTTGCCTGAGTGATTTTGTGTGTCGATCAGGATTGTCACTGATGCTGCTGGCATATATAGGCTTAATTTGGGCTCTTGTATAGGGTGCTAGATCAAGCTAGAAGGTCACAAGGAGCGGGCCAAAAGATGTGCTTGCTCTGCATTAATAGTCTGCAACTCAGCCTGACCGTCCTTGTGTGCTTACGGCACTATACTTCGACTGTCAGCCATCTAGCTCTCGCCTGGATGCCTCGATCGCCTCCGTGATCACGAAGATGATGCTTCAGGAAGGTCGATGGTATACGGTTGCAGCCATGAAGAATGATCTGGGCTACGATTCGAAACTTGATGGTGTGAGTTGTCCCATGATAGACCCTGCAATTGCTTTACATATATGCCATGCCATTTCAAAGCCATGCCAACTTAGGAAGATGATCCAGAAGATCGTGGATAACTGCAACCTCAACCCACAAAAGCTGGTACAGACTCTTGGCAACTAAACTGTTTGTGTGCATGTGTTCTACACTTGCCTAGCAATAATGTTTCTAATCAGGGACCGGAGAACAGTCTCTTTTCTGAGGCCAGAGAAGTATGACCAGACCATTATGCGCTATTGGGTTCAGACTGGTGGGTCTGGAGTGATCACGCAAACGAGCGCCGATCGCACCACGAACGAGCAGATGCAAGAGGTGCTCCAATCACACTCATATACAGTCCATCGATCTTATATACTCATATAATTTAATATCATATATATATATATATATATATATATATATAGTTAATGCACAATTTTACAATTAAGGCCTTATCAACTTAAGTTTGCACCCCCAAACCTTGAGCCCGAGAACCCTTTGAACTCTAAATAATCGATCCTTGAGACCCATGCTGCTGAATAGCATATTACCATGTACCCTGCAGAAAGAACTGCCATTCAGCAAATCCCCAAATCCTAATCAAAATCCCAGAACACTGGCACAGAAACCCACTTGATCTAGTTTGATTGAGCCCTATAGAGGACCCTGCAAACTTGGTGGATCAGTTTTGGGGGCTGGCTGCTGGGCTCTGGGCGGGGTCCAGGCAGTTTTTGGGTTGGCTGGTGGGGGTTTGGCCACCTTTTGGGGCTGGTTGCGGGCTTTGGCTGGCTGCGGGGGCTTTTTTGGGGCGCGGCTGGGTTTACTTTTTCCGATCCGGCAGGTTTACTTTTTCAGGGTGCTGGGGCCCCCGATGGTGAAAAAAATGGTGAAAACGAACCCGTACTGAAAACCGTACCCGAACCCAAAGCGTACCAACGTGAAATAATGTCGAAAAAAAGCCGTACTCAGATTTCACCTTTTACCCGTACTCAACCCGTACCAACGCGTAATGGCGTACTTTCCCCGCTCGGCTTACTTTCTCCGCAGGCTGCTTGAGATGGGGCTTTGGCGGCTGGTTCTGGCCTACTGGAAGGACTCTGCTGCTCAGTTTCCACTTCTGATAGCCTAGTTCACTTTCCATGTACGAGTCTTCTTCAGGACAAATTTTGAGCTGATGCTGGTTTGATGATGCAGCCCACTCCAAAAGCCAATGTCTCAGACCTGTGACAGCCTTCTTGAAGTACTGAAACCCTGAATGGACCCTTATAAATTGAAAACCTTGCCACCCTACTGCTGCAGGTCTTGGCTCCCTGACGCATGCCACGGTGTGATTCGCTGCTTGGTCGCTGCCTGGGTGATACTTTATACTGGCTTAACTCGGTCGAGTCACCCATCAGGCTCCATGATGAGATGTTTCAATGGTTCCGTACATATGTGCCAAGGACTGGCTGTGCGACTTTTCAATCGGGGGGACCCTGTTCCGATCAAACCCTTTTCAGATTCGATCATGATAAGTTATTTAAGGTGTCAAGTTTTAGGAGGGTTGATCAATCTAATCTACATATGGTATTCATTGTAGCTGATGTACCTAAATCGATACTTGCTGTAGTTGTCTTCTGGCAGGACTGATGATCTGACTTGTATATGACCCGGCAAACGGAGCCTGAGACGGGTTGCTGTGGTCAAAATGTTAAGTGCCGCATCAGCCTGGATGGCAAGAGCAGCTGTGCACAGATGCACTAGCCCGGAACCTCGCCCCTGTACAAAGTCGATGTATATACAAAGTACATTACTTACATATATACTCAACAGCCATCTATCGCCCCCCCTAGTCCTATATATGTATATGTATATATGTATATATATATAAACAATGCACCCAAAAACCCGTATATCCCTTGTGACCTCTATATAGATCCTTTTATGTATATATATATATATATATATAGGGTAAAAGCCAGAAAGTTGGAATATGGATTAATGGTAGGATCCCCTATAATTTACCTTAACGGGGTTACGACAATGATATTCCAACTTTCTGGCTTCTACTGTATAGGGTTAAAGGTTTCCAAGGTGGGTGTCGTTGGGGCGTTTCATTAAATATCGGAGTTATACAGGGTTTATAAGGCTAATATGAATCGAGCACCGTAACCTGTTGTGGCCTCAGTCTTTACCTAGCCCTTTAAACCTATAACCCTGTAAGCAACCTAAGTTTATCGTGCACATAGAGCCATGTTGGGCTCCAAGCTTTGGTCGTGCTCTGACCTGCAGCAGGGATACGAAGGACTGATGCAGGAAGACGCACAAATGGAGGAGGTGATGCGAAAACGTGTTCAGGTGGGATTGCACTGTCACAGGGGAATTAGTTATGTCAGTCTTTTCACATATTCTCCAGAGGAAACCAAACATCAATTGCAGGAGTTGCGAGCCAAAATCGCAGATGTCGATGCACAGAAGAATGCATCCCCGGGTGTTTCTCCACCTACGAAGAGGGTGAAAGGTGAACCAGCCTCCCGCCCAGAGTGTTAATTATGTGCCCTGTGAAGACTTGCATGATCTCTTGAATTAACTACAGCTCTATAGGGCCTGATTTTCTACAATAGTTTAAAGCTATCTAAGGTGCCTGGAATGGATGGTGTGGCCAAGAACCTGGCTGATGCATTTGAGGGCCAAACGCAGCCTACCCTGGTAATGGCATCCCCAGTGCCCCTGACGCCCACTTCTGAGCGTTCCCGAAGTCTTCCTCCAACCCCGGCTACAATCCCGGCTGGCCAGCAGGCTCCCCAGACCCCTTCCGAATCCATGGTGCCTTCAAATCTGAAAAGGGAGAAGAAGGCTCGAAATCACAGCAGGCCTCCGAGTTTTGCACGCTCAGAGCCTGCAACCAGGTCGCATGAGTTTGTTTCTTCATGGATTCTCAATACATTTTCAATCTGGCTCCATGATCGATCTAGAGCAACTCAGGCAGATGAAGCAGTGCTGCTTCAGAAAGAAGCCGACTTGCTGGCAGCCAAGCAAGCTGAGATTCACAGGAAGTTGCAGCTCTTGAGTTCCCCAGCAACCCCGAAGCCAGCCGAGCCAGGTGTTCGATTAGGTTCCGAGGGCCCTTCAGCCCCACCTTCCCGATCCGGGTCTGCAAGCCTTCGCCCAGCCCCAGCATCCCGAGCATCCGATGCTCGCAGCAATCAGGGAACGCAGGCGGAGGGTGACTCAGACTCGGAGAATGGGGGTGATGGAGAGATGGACGAGGAAGGCCTTGGTCTTGGGGTGGTTCTTTGCCCGAAGACTGGAAAGGCTCCCTAGCCGCCCTAGCTGTTTAATGCATAGATAGGACAAATCATTCATACTTTCACTGTGTGGTCTGTGTTTCTAGCTGCTTTTGCAATTAAATGAGGTATTGACAGATGCTGCTGTTCTTCAACGGCTCCGTCGCATGTGCAAACGACGCAAATCTGGCAAAGTGCCAGGGGGAGAAGATGCTTTCAAAAAGTACCAGGATGTGAACAATCGCAAGGAGTTGGCACATGCGCTAGTGAACTCTGGCTTCGAGCAGGACCCTTACAGTACTGTCTTTCAATACCCGTGAAGTGAATTACTTAAGTCTTCTGCCCACCCTAACAGAAAGCCTTCGCCTCCATGGTCACGAAGATGACCATCGTCGAGAATGAGAAGAGCCTCAAGGTTCAGGCTGGATGGTATACGGCTGCAGCCATGAAGGATGAGCTGGGCTACGATGCGAAACTTGATGGTGCATGTGAGTTCTCGCACAATAAACCCTGCAATTGCTATATGTGCCATGCCACTTCAATGCCAACTGAGGAAGATGATCAAGAAGATCGTGGACTACTGTGGCCTCAACCCAACGAAGCTGGTACGGACTCTTGGCACCTACGGTTTCTGTGTGCTCTACACTTGCCTTGCAATGATGCATGTTTCTAATCAAAGACCTGAGAACATTTTTCTTTCTGAGGCCATGGAAGTATGACACGAGTTTGAATCAGTATTGGGTTGAGACGCATTGGTCTGGAGAGATCACGAAGAAGAATATCGATCGCACCACGAATGAGCGTACCGAGGAGGTGCTTCAACTACAATCATGCATGGGTCTTATAGGCACAAAGCCTCATCGATTGGAACCCCCGAAACCTTTTCCTAGAAACCCGTGGTTACAACCAAGGAGCCTGAGAATTCCTAATACAATCCTTTAGACCCGTGCTAGTATATATATATATATATATATTGCCTACATCCCCAAAAAAGTCCTAAACCCCTATAAACCCAAAACCTCCGAACCCATAAACCCCTATAAGCCTTGCAAGCCAGAACACCACACATCCACTCTAGTTTCCTCTTCAAGCCCTATGACCCTGCAAATTTGGCTGAACCCTGCAGGCTGATGGTACCCTCCCAGTGGTGGAGACAACCTTCGATGATCAGCCCCCGGGACCAGCTGCTGAGGAGGGTGGTTTGGCCGGGGCGGAAGTTACTTGGCTATAGGGTTTGGAGATAATCCCCTAGTGAAGCTGTGCCAATTATCATGCAAAACAGAAGGCCCTGTAAACCCCATTGCCAATCAACTCCGAATGCCCAGGATCCCCGTACGATGCTCGATCGGGGCTTGGCTGAAGTTTTATCGAAGGTGTTGAGACACCGTGATCTGGCCGACCAGCTGCTGAAGCCCAAAAATCCAACTCCCAATGATCTGCACGAGAGGCTATCAAGGGTGGGCTTGTGTAGGGTTTCGGGAGGGATATAGTATACAGGAGCTATATAAGTTATTGCTGGGGTTAGGGTTTGTAAAATATTTAGGCTCTCAGGCTCAGGCTCAGAGCAACCAATAAGCTGCATGCATGGCTCCACCCTGAGGCTGGCGGGTGAGCTGCAATCTCATGCTGCAGCATTGGAGCGCCACTATGACAATATGAGTATGATCAAAGCAACTGCCTCCCTACGCATGACCCCCAAGCTTCCTGGTGTGGCAATATGTAGATGCACTCTCTGTGTTTCCTGCATCTAACCACCTAGTCTTTTCAAAACGAATCGAGGCTGCATACCGAGATTGACATGTCTATCGAGACGGCTTCTGTCCTGTGACTGGGTTGCAAATCACTCCTGGGGATACAGTTCGATCACTAGAGGCCTTACTTATCATCATATTAAATTAATCATATTCATTATAGACGTGTAATCCCGACCAGGCCTTTATCAGGATTAAAAGATGTGGGCTTGAAGGTTACCGGGTTTGGGGCAATATTATATGGTTTATGATGATCGAGGGGCTTAGGGCCTTTGAGTTTTTGTTGGAGTAGGTTGTGTAAACTATACAGGGCTTCTTGATCTGGCCTGGAATTCTTCGTGGGCCCCCTAAAATCCTAAACCTGATTGTTATTTTTAAGTTTCATGCAGACCTCTATTCAGTGCCGAAACATAAACTTTAAAAAATGATAGACCGTTCGAGCCATGTTAAGTCTTTCGAAACCCAAGCCCTGATCGACTCCCTATGAACCCAGAACCCGATCTAAATTAATTAAATAAACCTGATACCGTTTAGATCCCTAAAATCCCTTGTAGTCCTACCTGGCCAACCCACCTCTTTCATCCCAGGGCCGTCCAGGCGGTCTCAATCGAGAACAAGGTGACGCCAGTTCTGACAGAGCTGCAGAAGGCGCTCAAGGACAAGGAGAAACCGGGAAATGAGGGACACTCCGGGGCCCCACCGGCTTCTGCTGTCAATAATAAGCCCAAAGCCAAAGCTAAAGGAAAGTCCAAAGCAAAGGCGAAGGCCAACTAGTTTTGAACCGTATGCATGGCTCTTTGCAGGCCAGAACCAGTACGTTATGTGTACAACACTATCTACAGATACTGATGTTACGTTATTCACCAATGTGTTGCTCCACTGGTCTGCTGCTACACGGCTGGTGCTTGCATCTTTCGCACTGCAGCACAAAGCCCTGCTTTTGTGAGCCTGATATGCTTTGATCGGTGTAGTACTGCCCACACTGAGAGCTTTGGGATGATGGTGACGTCGCGCGAGATGAAAACACAATGAATGCAGTCTTTCTGCCTGTATGTGAGTGCTGAGAAACCTCATACATATGTGTGCTGTGCTTTCCCTGATATATCCATGCCAGGTCAGGCTGGCACACTCGGCAAAGAAGCTGCCAAGCAGTTGGTTCGAGGGGCCTTTGCCTTGGAGCCATGCTGCTCTGTTTTGCTTGAGTTGCGAGCTCATGTTGGTTTTCGAGCAATATCTACCGATCTGTCTCAGGTTCGTGCAGTTGTTTAGTTAAGTGAGACAAGCATACCAGAATCGAAAGCCGCCAGAAGCAACAATCCCTGAACCTACGCAAACCACAACCCCGGGCTTTGGACCCAGTGAGGTATATCGCTTATGTAGAACAACCAACCTAGGTAAAGGTTACATATGTCTATATATATATATATATATGCATATACATGTATATATATATATATAGAAACCTCGAAGCCCTAGAAATCCCGAAGCCCCAATCAGCTCTGTAGACCTCGCAAACCAAGGCTTAGACATTCCTTTGGGTATAAATTAGTCCAATTCGTCTATATGTACATGTGTGTATAAATATATGTAGTATACAGGTTTAGAAAACCTAAGTATACTTGATATGGTTATTGTCACCCGAATTACTTTGAAAAACTATAGATTGATTCGGTCAATGTCGTAGCCGCCGCCATGGATGAGTGGTTCGATGAGCTCCTAGTGTTTCCAAAACGACAGACACCTGGCTTCGAATTTATGCCATCGAACAAATATAAATCATAACCCATTCCTGTGCGCACACTGCCCTGCCTCAAGGAAGACAGCGATCGAGCCTGGGAGCAAGACCGTGATGAGCAACTGGACTCAATTATATAGACGCTTGGGGATGGCTGCATTGAGGAAGGGGCACCCTGATCAACATAAGGCACCAGTGATGACAAATCTTCGGTTCATTGGAGATATCACAAGTACATGTCTGCAGAGCTTCTCAGCCTACCAGACATTGCAGAGACTTGGGATGGAATCTTGCAAAAGAGAGATCTGCTGAAGATTACTTTGCCTGATGTTAAATCTGTTGGCAAGACACCTGGCAAGATCTTTGCCCATGCTGAAGCGATGGTCGAGATAGTGCCTCGGCTTTCGGCAGTTATGGTTAATACTGCTCCTGTGCCGACAATTGTGTCGAAAACGATTTGGACTTGATCTGCTGAGGTTCTGCAGTCTGTTGGTTCTGCAGTTTTCAAAGTGGGCTTTACCCATGATCCTGTTCGGCGGGTGGAAGGCTACTGCGACGAAGGATATCATCGGATGCATCTGTTGTACATGTCAGCAGACAGCACGATGTGCAAGTGTTTGGAGGCTCATTTAATTCGGTTGTACAGACGGCGACAAGGTTGCCATAATGATAACCCTGGTGGCGAGGGGCCAGACCACTTTCCTTCAGCCTACTTCGTGTACATTGCAATCAAACATGTGCTCTAGTCGAGATCTCCGAGTGTGAAAAAGATCGATTGCAGAATCGTTGATGTCAGTCGCAAGCATGCATGAGCAAAGCACTGCCATCGACTATAGGTTTGCTTAACAAATGCCAATCTCACATCCGCTGCTGAGGCCACTGGGACTACTATCTCTGGCTTCGTGCGGGCTGCAACTGCTGATCCCCGACGCTCCGGTGACTCCCTGCTTGATGGGCTAGCGAAAGCTTCAGAAAATCGGCTAGAAGATACAGGGCATGAGCTGCGACTAAGCTGCATCCACATCATCAGATCATCAGCTGGAGCTTGCTCTTGATGAAGTCCGCACCAGGATCCCACACAACCCCTTTTAACCCTGCTCAGATAATACTAACACAATTGAAGCACCCTATACAAACCCTATAGCCCTGTATCTATATATAGTCTATATATTTATATATAGATTCAATAGTCGATAAACACATGTATATATATATATATATGTACACATAGATCGAGATTATAGAAGTTCTAGGTCGGCTCTTCAGCCACGTTCCGGAGAGGCCAAAATAGACCATGTAAAAACCCTTACCCAAATCCTAAACCCCAACCCGAAACCTATTAGACCCAAAACCACAACCCCAAAACCAAAACGTCAGGTCAAAAGGTTACGACCCTTAACATCCCTAGATCCCTTAAGCCCTGCAGTACCCCATAAACCTAAAACCGATGTAGACCCCTTAAAGGATCGAGCCCTTAAGGATCCCTTGTCGGAACCCCTCTAGAAACCCTTACAGCGGACTCCCTCTTAAGCACTCTACTGCTGCCCAGGGAAGTTAAGGGATGCCGGGTTCTCCTAACGTGTTTCGTTTCGAGTTGTCTTTATGGTTTTTCGGGTAAGTTACTAGTAAGTCGAGACTGGGGTTGTGTAAGGTGTATACATGCATGTGTGCTAGTCTAGATTCTATAGATACATGTGCATGTGTCTAAAGTGTGTATTATGGGTGTCACAAGCCGTATGAGATGAAGCCTCTTCCTGCCTTGTAAGAACACTTTAAACCTTTGTGCCAGCCTTTTCCGAGCACTCAGGTTTAAAGAGTTTGGCCTGGCACTGGATGTTCCGATCTCCTATGTCAACGTGGGGGACAGCAACTGTGACCTGCCAATGATTAGACCCAGCGATTTGTTTCAACACCTTGCGGACCTGGGCAAATTGGACCTCCTTTTCGGCCAACAGCCAGCAAGTGTTTTACCTGAATTCTGGAGTCGTTTTCAGGAGGTGGAGCCAAACAATACTGTTCATGCTGCCTTCGCTGCTGGTACAATGCACCCCGATCGAACAATACCAATGGTCATTCATGGGGATGAAGGCCGTGGAAGGAAAAGACTTCCAGTCATGGTAGTCAACACCCATGGCCTGATCGGTGCAGGATGCAAGGCCTTCCATGAGTTTCACAAAGATGCACCCAGAATGCAGGAACAGGCTATGCCTGTAAACATCAAGGGCCACTCGATGGAGACACGCTTTCTATCATTTGTACTGTCAAAGAAATCATATGGCACCGACTGCTCATACTTGATGCGGATGTTCGAAGCACTGGTCGAGGATCTATGCAAGCTTTCAACAACCGGGATCCAGATCAAGTCGAAGTCTGGTGTCGAGACGTGGCATTGTGCATTTATTGGAAGTGTTGGAGATCTACAGTTTTTTGCGAAGGTCGCAAGCCTCACTCGGTCCTATACCCACGTGAGCAAGCGCAGTGGACAGCAAGCAAAAAATGGGCTCTGCCACCTTTGCCTTGCTGGCAAACCTGGCTGGGACTATGAAGACTTCAGTGACAATCCTGCTTGGTTGCGGTCTGTTGGGATTGAGCCCCCCTGGGAGAGCCCTCCGGATTTGATCTTTCGATTATTCCACGATCCTGGAAATGCTGGGGGGTTCCTGAAGCCAGACCTCTGGCACTGCCTGCACTTAGGGTGTGGAAAGGTGTTTCTCGCCTCTGCTCTGGTGGAATGGCTCCCTTTTCTGCCAGGCCTCCTGCCTTCAAAGCCATGGATTCTGGAATAGTTTTTTCTCTATGTGTTTATGCTGGTTTTATTCAGGTTCCCCAGAACATAAAATTAGTCTATTTGGGTGTTTTCTTTGTTCGATAAGACCCTTAAGAGTTTTCCAAGGGTAGTCGTTTGTTAGTACGTTTCCTGGAAAACAAGTTTGGGTCGTTTCAGTGCGATAGGGTACAACAAACAACGCTCAGGAAACAACGTCCAGGAGAGGTTTGCATATCTGGATGAGCACGCGCAGGCTTACCTGCAGCGACATGGTCAGAAACTATACTGTCGGCATGTGAGCGAGCTGAGCGTTGGTTTCGACTCTTACCAGAAATGCCCTCAAGGAGCTTGGCAAAAAGCAAGCGATACAACATTGCTTCTGGAGATTTTCGAAGACTTCTGTGAGAAGCATGCTTCAATGGCCTCCGAGGATGCCATTTTGGGTTGGACGTATACTGCGGTAGCCAACCTGAATGCCTGTATCCGTTTGCTATACAAGAGTGGGCTGTGGATGACACAGCATCAGGCGCTGGATGCTTCATCTACAGGCATGAACTTTTTGAAGTGCTACGGCCACCTGGTTCATTTGACTTTCCAAGCGAACCGCGATCGGTTTCCAATCACTCCGAAGGTTCATTACATCCATCACTTGTTCATCGACCTGAAGTCCCAAGCTCGGGCTTCCGCCTGGACATTGAACTGTATCGCCTTCACGGTACAGATGGATGAAGACTTCGTGGGGGTGCATGCAAGAGCTTCAAGACGTGCAGGTGCCCAGTATGTCTCGCTGCGGTGTTTGCAGCGTTATTTGCTGTATGCAGGCGAGCGAATCACTCCCGAGTATCGCCGAACCTCTTGAAGTCTGGAGTGCATGTGCATGAAAATTCCGACCGGATCGTTCGAGGGATTTCTGCTTGCAAGGGCTCAACAACCTTTCCCAAACGTTTAAGGCAGGCTTTTTGTAGACCTTGTGTGGCAACGACTCAATAGCTTTTTCCCAGCTAGACTGACAAGACTCCGTAGATTCATCCCAGGCCTTTGAAGAAATACTCAACAGCTTTTCCCAGACTTGAAGCAACGGCTCAATAGCCCTTTCCCAACCAGACAGTGTAGCTTCTTCCCAGGCCTTTAAAGAACGACCCAACAGCCTTTTCCCAGACATTTAAGCAACGATTCAATAGCCTCTCCCAGATCTGTAAGCAACGACTCTACAGCCTTTGCCCAGGCCTTACGCAAGGATTCCATCAATCAATGTCTCAAATGGGGCAGACTCAGATCTCTAAGCAAACATCATGTTTGGATTGCATCATGTAACATCGGAGATTCCCAAGGGTCTATCTCGGCATACTTTTTCCGGCGCCATGGTTTATTCAAGGGTGTTCCGCTGTTTACTTTTTTTGCGACGCAAGGAAATTCTACGCCGAATCGGCGGAATAGAAAAAAGTATGCCGACGAACTTACTGGTACTACTACTCCTCCTACTCTTGCTCTTACTCCTGCTCTTGCTCTTGCTCGTACTCTCAATCTGACTCCTACTCCTCCTCCTCTGGCTGTGACATCTGGGATGGCTTGAGTAATCTTTGCTGAGCGATTCCTGCGTCCTCAGTCCCCTAAGGCCTGTGCTCTTCGAATGCTACGCACTTCCGCTAAACTTTCGCGCCAAGTAGCTTGAGCTGGAAACACCATTTGCGTCGATCTTGGGCTTTGAGGCATTTTGAAACACCTCCGAAACTCTGTCTGAGCAGTCGCTGGTCTTGATTATAGTTGCAGGCCGGAAAGTCAGTAGGTCGGGGCTTCTTGCGCTTAGAAGTGCGCATAGCCACAGTGCATGAAGCACGTGAAAGCTGGAAGTTCGACATTCTGCTTCCTACTTTCAGGTCTTCTTGCTCAAAGCTCGGCTCGCAGTCCCTGCTCATGTGCCAAATGGGTTATATAATGGGCATATAGTAGCTATATTAAGGGCATATGCCTGATGGCTTTTCCGATTCTACGAAGCTGTTGAGGGGCCCTGCAGTTGAGTTCTGGGCGAGCCCGAATCACAGTTGTGTAAAACAGCCTCTGTCTTCAGAATAGCCGGATGCCAAGGCGGACACTCATCCATGCGAACACGCATACACACACGCACAAACCCATTCAGATGCTTTGCAATTTTATGTCGTGCTTTGACTGACAACTCCGAGAAAAGAAACCGCGGCCGCGGAGCGACTATGGGTCCAGGCGCCGCGCACGGACAAGATGATATCTGAAGCAACTACGACGGCAAGACTTCAAGAAATATCGAAGAGAGGCCCTGGTCGTGACTTCGATTATACTTATATTATAATTACATGAATATTACAACAATATATTCCACGAAGCATAGGGCGCCCTTGCCTCATCCAACAGGAA